TGGTTTGGGCGGGGGTTGTTTAGTGTTTTGTGTTAGTGGTTTATATTTTTGTTTGGTTTTTCGGGATGGTGAAAAGTTCGTTTTGAGGGCTGTGTTTGGTTTGTGGTGATTTGTTTAGGGCTGTTCACGCTATGTCGGGTTGGTTGTGTGGTGGGTGATTGTTCAGTCCAGGGTTACTAGGAAATAGGGAGAAAAGTAAGTTGAAGATGTGTGAATGGTTGGTGGTTTAGGTAAATGCAGGCGCGGGCGGGCTTATCGTTTTATGAAAGGTGATGAAAATTTCAATATTAAAAGAAATGAATGCGTGAATATAGAGTTTAAATACAAGTTCCTAGTGAGTGATAAAATAATAAGTATGTCCGGCAACCATTACACTATCTGTTGACGGGAGGTAGTTAGCGCGCACTCCATGAATGGGGTCAAAGTGCATCAGTGTCAAGTTTGAGACGACCTTATCCATTAAACCATGACATTCTGGGTGTTAGGGGATTCATATGCTCGGTAGTCATATGATGGACATGTCAAGAGGAAGATATCACCTGCTACGCACTTGAAGGGCTTATTGAAAGGATATTAAAAAAAACAAAGTGTAGAAGGTCGGTATGCCTATAGCCGGTGGGAGTAGGGAGGAGAATCCAACCGACCACTTGTATCTGTGAAGAGCAAGTGAGGGGGCTTGTTGTAGTTCATGGTCCTGAAGTTACAACCAATAGCGCAAAAGAGCAAGTTGAGCTCGGCGGTTAGGGGGGAAGTATGCGCCTGAAGCCAATAACCTAAATCACCTATAACGTTGAGTAGCTCGGTTCTCGTGAGAAGCGCGATCAATAGATAACCTGGTCCTCTGGCTTGGGAGTGCTTGAAAGCTGTTGGCCTAGAATATTGCCTAGGAGGTGGGCGAACTCGGTAGACTTTGAGGGTTCAAAGGTGTGCTGGGACATTCCTCGTTCACGTGAGTGAAGAGTTGGTATAGTGCTGGATTCTTGGGTGTTAGGGGTAACGCTTGCGGCTTGGGCCTTGGGTAGGATGACTTGGGCTTTATGGTACCTGAAGCAAGAATGTCTCTGGTGGAGTTACTGTCCTTATACCACTTGTTTTGGAGATAATGTTTGGGTTTCATGTGGAGTACCATTACATATACTTTGGATTATCCTACATTTCATGGACTGTCTGATGTGGCATATAATGTGATGCATATTATACATACCCTGAAAGTATAGAGAAAATATACTGCGGGGGGTGAAGGGGGGGGTCGGAGGAGCTGACTGGTCTAGGCGTTCTTGTAGTTAAAGTTATATAACAACGGCTTTTCAGGCCGTAGGTCCCGGAGAGAGGCCGGGCGGGAATTTATGATAGAATTTGTCCTGTTTTTAGGGTTATGTTTTGCTTTGGGGGGGTTAGCAGTTGCATCTAATCCTTCTCCGTATTATGGGGTGTTAGGGTTGGTTGTGGCAGCTGTTGCTGGGTGTGGTTGGCTGGTCAGCTTGGGGGTTTCTTTTGTGTCCTTGGTGCTTGTTATGGTTTACTTGGGAGGGATGTTGGTGGTGTTTGTTTACTCGGTGTCGTTGGCAGCGGATCCTTATCCGGAGGCTTGGGCTAGTTGAGGGGTTGTTGGCTATGGCTTTGGCATGGGCTTGGTTGTTGTGGTGGGTTTCGTTGTGAGTGGTGTGGTGGGATTGCTGGGGGATGAGGGCACGGTGAATAATGGTGGTTTGTTATCGGTTCGGTCGGATTTCAGCGGGGCGGCCCTGCTTTACTCGGATGGGGTTGGGTTATTGTTGGTTGGGGGGTGGGGGCTGTTGCTGACTTTGTTTGTGGTGTTGGAGCTTGTGCGGGGTTTATCTCGGGGGGCCATTCGGGCGGTTTAATGGTAGGGTCAGGGAGTAGTTTAATTCAAAATACCAGCTTTGGGAGTTGGTGATGGAGGTTTGAATCCTTTCTCCCTGAGGATGCGCGGTAACTCTAAGAAGGGGTGTAATCTTCAATCTTTGGTTTACAAGACCAACGTTTTTCATAAACTATTAGAGTTTATTAGGGTTTATTGGAGTTTGAGCAGCTTGTTCTCTAGGATGGCTGCAAGGGGGAATAGGACTAGGATGATCGTGAAGTAGGAGAGTGAGGCTAGTTGACCAATGATGATGAAGGGGTGTTCTACTGGTTGGCTGCCTACTCAGGTTAGGACTAGGACGTTAGCGACCAGGGCCCAGAATAGGATTTGCGACAGAGGGCGGAAGGTCATTGATCGGAATTTTGATGTGTGGAGGAGTGGGGTTAGGAATAGGACTAGGATTGAGGCGGCCAGGGCTAGGACTCCTCCCAGTTTGTTCGGGATGGATCGTAGAATGGCGTAGGCGAATAGGAAGTATCACTCGGGTTTAATGTGGGGTGGAGTTACTAGGGGGTTGGCCGGGGTGAAGTTTTCCGGGTCTCCTAGGAGGTTGGGGGAGAATAGGGCTAGGGAGACTAGTAGGGAGAGTATTAATACGAATCCTAGGATGTCTTTTACGGTGTAGTAAGGGTGGAATGGGATTTTGTCGCAGTCTGATGGGATTCCTAGGGGGTTGTTTGATCCTGTTTCGTGTAGGAATGTGAGGTGTACTAGTGTGAGGCCTACGATGAGGAATGGGAGTAGGAAGTGTAGAGCGAAGAATCGGGTTAATGTGGGGTTGTCTACTGAGAATCCGCCTCAGGCTCACTCCACGAGTGTTTGTCCGATGTAGGGGATTGCTGAGAATAGGTTTGTAATGACTGTAGCTCCTCAGAAGGATATTTGTCCTCATGGCAGGACATACCCTACGAAGGCGGTTGCTATGAGGGTTAAGAGTAGGATGACTCCGATGTTTCAGGTCTCTTTGTTGAGGTAGGAGCCGTAATACAGTCCTCGGCCGATGTGTAGGTAGATACAAATGAAGAAGAACGATGCTCCGTTGGCGTGCAGGTTGCGAATTAGTCACCCGAATTGGACGTCTCGGCATATGTGGGCTACGGAGGAGAATGCCAGGTTGGTGTCTGCTGTGTAGTGCATGGCTAGTAGTAAGCCTGTGACGATTTGTGAGATTAAGCAAATGCCCAGTAGTGACCCGAAGTTTCACCATGTTGAGATGTTGGGTGGTGTTGGGAGGTCAATTAGGGCGTTGTTGATGACTTTAAGGATTTGGTGATTTTTACGAAGGTTGAGGGCCATTTGTTGATTCTGTGTATTGATATCAGGATGATTAGGATGGATAGGGCGAATGATCCTAGGTAGGCTTTGATTAGGCCGGAGTGTAGGGTAGTGGAGATTTTGGATGCTGTTAGTTGTAGATTGGCCAATCCTTCTGGTCCTAGTATTTTGTACCAGGATAGGTCGATTAGGTGCGAGGCGATTTTTTGTCCTCCGCTTAAGATCTTAGTTATGCTGAAGCGGTGAACTAGGGGGTTGAAGTATCCTAGGGAGGTGGAGAAGTTTGATAGCGGTGTTTGTTTTGTTAGGATGTGCATTTGGGTTGTTTTTGAGATTTCTAGGGCTATGGCGATTCCTATGGCTGTTACTACCATGGCTGTTATTTTGATGGATAGTGGTATGGTTGTGGGGGGTGTTTTTGTTGGTAGGATGTAGGAGGTGATGATGAAGCCTGCTATAATACTTCCTAGAGCAAGGCGGGTGATGGGGGAGGTCACTGCGGGGTTGTTTTCATTGACTGGGGTCAAGGGTTGAATTCGGACGAAGCCGGTTTGAACTAGTACGGTCATACGGATTGTATATACTGCAGTGAAGGATGTGGCTAGGAGAGTCAGTAAGAGGGCCCAGGTATTTAAGTAGGATGTGTTTAAGCTTTCGATGATTTGGTCTTTTGAGTAGAACCCTGCTAGGAATGGCGTTCCTATTAGGGCTAAGTTCCCGATAGTCAGGCACGAGGTGGTTGTAGGTAGTATTTTTTGAAGGCCTCCTATCTTTCGAATGTCTTGTTCGCCATTTAGGCTGTGGATAATAGAGCCTGAACATAGGAAGAGCATAGCTTTGAAAAATGCGTGGGTAGAGATGTGCAGGAAGGCTAGTTCTGGGAGGTTTAGTCCGATTGTAACTATTATTAGTCCTAGTTGGCTTGAGGTGGAGAAGGCGATGATTTTTTTGATGTCGTTTTGGGTGAGGGCGCATGTAGCGGCAAATAGTGTAGATAGAGCCCCTAGGCATAAACATAGGGTCAGGGCGGTCTGGTTGTTGCTGAATAGGGGATGGGTTCGGATTAATAGGAAGATTCCTGCTACTACTATTGTGCTGGAGTGGAGTAGGGCTGACACGGGGGTGGGTCCTTCTATGGCGGCTGGTAGTCATGGGTGCAGGCCGAATTGAGCGGATTTGCCGGTTGCAGCTAGGATTAGGCCAAGAAGGGGGAGTGTTGGTGTTTGGGATGTAGGGGGAAGTTGGTGGATTTCTCAGGTGTTTATAGCGCATGCTAGTCATGCTATGCACATGATTAGGCCTACATCCCCCACTCGATTGTAAAGGACGGCCTGGAGGGCGGCGGTGTTGGCTTCTGCTCGTCCGTGCCATCAGCTGATTAGCAGGAAAGATATAATTCCGACTCCTTCTCAGCCGATGAACAGGACGAATAGGTTGTTGGCGATGATTAAGATTAGTATTGCAATTAGGAAGAATAGTAGGTAGGTGAAGAATTTTGTGATGTACGGGTCTGAGGCTATGTATCAGGTTGCGAATTGCAGGATGGACCATGAGACGAATAATGCGATGGGGAAGAAGGTTAGTGAGTAGAAGTCTATTTTTAGGCTGATTGGGATTTTGAAGTTTATGATGAATTTTCATTCTCAGACGGAGGTCAGGCTTTCTGTCCCGGAGTGGATGTAGATTGTTATGGGGATTAAGCTGATTAAGAAGGAGGTTTTAACTGTGCTTGTGATGGTGGCGGGGGTGTTTTTGAGGTTGTCTGATAAAAGTGGGAATAGGGTAGGGGTGGCTAGGGTGGCTAGGGTTAGGAGTATGAATGTATTTAGGATTAGGGATAGGTCCATTACTTTCACTTGGATTTGCACCAAGATGAGTGGCTCCTAAGACCATTGGATTACTGTTATCCTTTGAAAGTAAGGGGACTGAGGTTTCATGCTCAGATGCAAGAGTTAGCAGTTCTCGTTGGTTCGACCTCCCCTCGGCGAGTAAGAAGATTTTAACTTCTGTCCTTAGAATCACAATCTAATGTTTTGGTTGAAACTATACTTGCATATGGGAGTGCCTGAGATTAGTTCAGGTTTGAGGATGAGTAGGAATATTGGGATTATGTGTAGGGCCATGAGGAGGTGCTCCCGTGTAGAGGAGTTTTGGATTGATGTGATGTGTGATGGGAGGGGACCTCGCTGTGTCACTGTGAGCATGTATAGGGTGTATGAGGCTGTGAGTAGGATTGCGGCTCCCGTTAGGATAATCGTGAAAGCGGATCAGTTGAAGAGTGCAATTACGATGGTTAGTTCTGCTATAAGGTTTGTTGTTGGTGGGAGGGCTATGTTTGTGAGGTTGGCTAGAAGTCACCAAATGGCTATCAGGGGTAGTATGGGTTGTAGCCCTCGTGTGAGTAGGAGGATTCGACTATGAGTTCGCTCATAGTTGGTGTTGGCCAAGCAGAATAGTATTGATGATGTCAGTCCATGTGAAATTATTAGGATTATTGCCCCTGAGAATGCTCATTGGGTTTGGATTATGGTTGCGGCTACTACCAGGCCTATGTGGCTTACAGATGAGTAAGCAATTAGGGATTTTAGGTCAATTTGTCGTAGGCAGATGGCGCTGGTTATTAGAGCGCCTCACAGGGCTAGAGTGATGAATGGGTAGTGGAGGTTGTTTGATGTTGGGTTTACTAGGATGGTGACTCGTATGATGCCATATCCTCCGAGTTTTAGCAGCAGGGCGGCTAGTAGTATGGAGCCGGCGATAGGGGCTTCTACATGGGCTTTGGGAAGTCATAGGTGTAGGCCGTAGAGTGGGGCTTTGACCATGAAAGCTGTGAGTAGGGCTAGGCTCGCGGCTAGTCCAGATCAGGAGTTGTTTAGTGTGGGGTGCGATAGCTTTAGTATTGGGAGGTATAGTGTGCCGATTTGGTTTTGTAGGTGTAGGATAGCGATTAGTAGTGGTAGTGAGCTGGCGAGTGTGTAGAATAGTAGGTAGATCCCAGCATTTAGGCGCTCTGGCTGGTTGCCCCATCGTGTGATGAGGATTAGGGTTGGAATTAGGGTAGCTTCGAATGCGATGTAGAAGAGCATCAGCTCTGAGGCTGAGAAGGCTAGTAGAATGGATAGCTGGGCTAGGACGATTGTTGTGGCAAAGATTCGCTTGCGGGCGGCGGGTTCTTGTTCTAGGTGGTTTTGGCTTGCTATGATTATGAGGGGTAGGAGCCAGCAGGAGAGGACTAGTAGGGGGGAGGAGATTTGGTCAATGGAGGTTCAGGGGGTTAAGTTTTTGCTCGGGTAGTACGTGGGCGTGAGTCATTGTAGGCTTGTAGCAGCGATCAGTAAGCTGTACAGGGTGGTGTTAGTTCATAGGTGCTTGCATGGGGACAGGAGGGCTAGGGGTAGTAGCATGGCAGTTGGAATGATAATTTTTAGCATTGTAGGAGGTTGAAGTTGTGTAGTAGATCGGAGCCGTGGGTCCGGGTGGAGGCTACTAGCAGGGCTAGTCCTGTGCCGGCTTCGCAGGCGGAGAATGTTAGCATTAGGATGGGTAGTAGGGTGGACGCTGGTGTTTGTGTTTGGATGGGTCATATGGCTAGGGCAATGTACATTGACAGTATTATGCTTTCTAGACATAGTAGTGCTGAGATTAGGTGGGTTCGGTGGAAGGCTAGCCCTAGGCTGCTTAGGGTGAAGGCTGAGTAAAAACTTAGGTGTAGGTAGGACATAAAGAAAGTTATAGGGTGAGGGCTATAATCTGTTGAGTCGAAATCAACCGTCTTAGTTAGACTAACTTTCTGCTATTCTGCTCACTCTAGCCCGCCTTGGATTCATTCGTAGATTAGTCCGAGAGTGAGGAGTAGAATTAGTAGGGAAGCTCAGGTCAGAGTGGTGATGGGGGATTGTAGTTGGGTGGCTCATGGTAGTGGTAGGAGCAGGGCGATTTCTAGGTCGAATAGGAGGAATAGGATGGCTACTAGGAAGAAGCGGATGGAGAAGGGCAGTCGAGCTGAGCCTAGGGGGTCAAATCCGCATTCGTATGGGGATAGTTTTTCTGGGTCTGGGTTTATTTGGGCTAGTCAGAAATTTAGTGCTGTTAGTAGTATGCTTAGGACGAATGAAAGTGTTAGTATGAATAGAATTATGTTTATTACTCTTCTCTGGGTTTAAACCAGATTCTAAGGATTGGAAGTCGATTGTAATAGATATACTAGAAGAGTAAGATCCTCATCAGTAGATGGAGATATAGAGGAATAATCATACAACGTCTACGAAGTGTCAATATCAGGCGGCTGCTTCAAATCCGAAGTGGTGGTTAGACGTGAAGTGGTATTTGATTAGGCGCAGGAGGCATACTAATAGGAATGTAGAGCCAATAATCACGTGTAAGCCGTGGAATCCTGTAGCGACGAAGAAGGTTGAGCCGTATACTCCGTCAGCGATGGAGAATGGGGCTTCGTAGTATTCTATGGCTTGTAGGGCTGTGAAGTAGAATCCTAGGAGGACTGTTAGGAGTAGAGCTTGGATTGCTTGTTTTCGATTGGCTTCTGGGATGCTGTGGTGGGCTCATGTGACGGTAACTCCTGATGCTAGGAGGATGGCAGTGTTTAGGAGAGGCACTTCTATCGGGTTTAGGGGCTTAATTCCTACGGGTGGTCACTGTCCTCCGAGTTCTGGGGTGGGGGCTAAGCTTGAGTGGAAGAAGGCTCAGAAGAACCCCAGGAAAAAGAAGGCTTCTGATGTGATGAACAGGGCTATTCCGTATCGAAGCCCTTTCTGCACGGTGGGGGTGTGGTGGCCTTGGAATGTGCTCTCCCGCACGATGTCCCGTCATCATTGAAATATGACTAGGGCGGTGGTGATGAGTCCTAGAATTAGGAGTCGGGGAGAGTTATAGTGGAATCACATTGTTAGTCCTGAAGTAGTTAGTAGGGCAGCGGCTGCTCCTAAAATGGGTCATGGGCTTGGGTCTACTATGTGGTAAGAGTGTGCTTGGTGAGCCATTATCGTGGTGTTAGATGTTCTCTTGTAGGTAGAGGCTTAGTAGTAGGACGAAGACGTAGGCCTGGATTATTGCTACTGCTACTTCTAAGATTGTTAATAGGAAGAGGACTACTAATGTTAGTAAAGAGACTGCTGGTATCGTCGAAAATAGGGCTGTTGTGGCCGTGGAGATGAGTTGAATGAGTAAATGCCCTGCTGTGAGGTTGGCTGTGAGTCGCACTCCTAGGGCTAGTGGTCGGATTAATAAGCTTGTTGTTTCGATTAGGATTAGGGCTGGGATTAGCGGGGTTGGGGTACCTTCTGGCAGGAGGTGACCTAAGGAGGCGGATGGTTGGTTACGTAGGCCGGTTAGGAGAGTGGCAAGCCATAGGGGGAATGCCAGGGCTAGGTTTATTGATAGTTGGGTGGTTGGGGTGAATGTGTATGGTAGTAGCCCAAGCAGGTTGATTAGCAGGAGGAAGATTATGAGGGATGTGAGAATTATGGCTCATTTGTGGCCCTTTTTGTCTAATGGTATTATCAGCTGTTTTGTAACTAGGTTGATGAATCAGAGTTGAAGGGTGGAGAGTCGGTTGGTGATTCATCGGTTGTCCAGAGAGGGGAGGAGTAGGGCTGGGAATGTTATTGAGATAAGGATCAGTGGAATTCCTAGTAGGGATGGGCTTGAGAATTGGTCGAAGAAGCTTAGGTTCATGGTCAGGTTCAGGGGGTGGTGTTTGGGATGGTGGTGGATTTACGGGATGGGGGGTTTATTGATACGAATGACAGGAGTTTAGGTTGGATGATTAGGGAGAAGGTGAGTCATGAAGAGAGCATGATAAAAAATCAGGGGTTTGGGTTTAGTTGAGGCATATCATTAAGGAGGGGGGGGTCCCTCTGTCTTTAGCTTAAAAGGCTAATGCTGGTTCATAGCTTCTTAATGATTGAGATGATATTAAAGAGGATCAGCTCTCAAAGTTAGCGAGAGGGGTAGATTCTACTACGATTGGCATGAAGCTGTGGTTGGCTCCGCAGATTTCTGAGCATTGTCCGTAGAATACCCCAGGTCGGGAGGCAAGGAAAGAAGTTTGATTGAGGCGTCCTGGGATTGCGTCAGTTTTCACGCCTAGGCTGGGTACGGCTCATGAGTGAAGTACGTCGTCTGCGGTTACGATGACTCGGACTGAGGAGCTCATGGGGACAATAACGCGGTGGTCTACTTCTAGTAGGCGGAAGTGTCCTAAGGGCAGGTCTGTTGTTGGGACTATGTAGGAGTCAAATGTGAGGTCTTTGAGGTCGGTGTATTCGTAGGTTCAATATCATTGGTGACCGATGGCTTTCAGGGTCAGGTCTGGTTCGTTGATTTCGTCTATTATGTATAGAATTCGTAGTGATGGTAGGGCGAGTATTACTAGCACTATGGCTGGTAAGATAGTTCAGACGAGTTCAATTTCTTGGGCGTTTACTGTGTTTGATGAAAGTTTCTCTGTAAGTATGAAAGTTAGGAGGTAAAGGACCAGGCTGCAGATTGCTAGGGCAACTATCAGGGCGTGGTCGTGGAATCCCATGAGTTCTTCTATGATAGGTGAGGCGGCGTCTTGAAAGTTGAGTTGTGAGTGGTTGGCCATTATTTTGATGGAGAGGTGTGTAGGGTTTTCGCCTACAATTTAGCCTTGACAAGGCTATGTAATTGTTTTACTAACACCTCTTTATGAGAAAGAAGCATAAGTGGTCTATGCGGTTGGCTTGAAACCAACATATGGGGGTTCGACTCCTTCCTTTCTTGTACTTGGACAAAGGCGGGTTCTTCGAAGGTGTGGAAGGGGGGCGGGCAGCCGTGGATTCATTCAACGTTGGTGCTTGTTAGTTCTGGTTGTAGGACTTTGCGTTTTGATGCGAAGGCTTCTCAGATGATGAACACTAGCATAATTACGGCTGTCAGAGAGATTAACGATCCTACTGATGAGATAGTGTTTCATAGTGTGTAGGCGTCTGGGTAGTCTGAGTATCGTCGTGGCATTCCGGCTAGGCCTAGGAAGTGTTGGGGGAAGAAGGTTAGGTTTACTCCCACGAATATTACCCCAAAGTGTGTTTTGGCTCATGTTGAGTGTAGAGTGTAGCCAGTGAATAGTGGGAATCAGTGGGTGAATCCGGCTAGGATTGCGAATACTGCTCCCATTGATAGTACGTAGTGGAAGTGGGCTACCACGTAGTATGTGTCGTGTAGGGCAATGTCTAGTGAGGAGTTTGCTAGAACAATCCCTGTTAGTCCTCCAATGGTGAATAGGAAGATGAATCCTAGGGCTCACAGTATTGGTGGGTCTCATTTGATTGTTCCTCCGTGGAGGGTGGCTAGTCAGCTGAACACTTTGATGCCTGTTGGGATGGCGATGATTATGGTGGCGGATGTGAAGTAAGCTCGAGTGTCGACGTCCATTCCTACTGTGAATATGTGATGCGCTCAGACGATAAAGCCCAGGAATCCGATGGATAGCATAGCTCACACTATCCCCATGTAGCCGAATGGTTCTTTTTTCCCTGAGTAGTATGTTACTACGTGGGAGATGATTCCGAATCCAGGCAGGATTAGGATGTAGACTTCTGGGTGGCCAAAGAACCAGAAGAGATGTTGGTATAGGACTGGATCTCCTCCGCCTGCGGGGTCAAAGAATGTGGTGTTGAGGTTGCGGTCGGTGAGTAGCATTGTGATTCCTGCAGCGAGGACGGGTAGCGACAGGAGCAGTAGTACTGCGGTGATTAGTACGGATCAGACAAATAGGGGTGTTTGATATTGTGATAGGGCGGGGGGTTTTATGTTGATTGCTGTTGTAATAAAGTTGATTGCCCCTAAGATTGATGAGATACCTGCTAAGTGTAGGGAGAAGATTGCTAGATCTACTGAGGCTCCGGCGTGGGCTAGGTTGCCGGCCAGTGGGGGGTATACTGTTCATCCTGTGCCTGCTCCTGCTTCTACGGTGGAGGATGCTAGTAGCAGGAGGAAGGATGGAGGCAGTAGTCAGAAGCTTATGTTGTTTATTCGTGGGAATGCTATATCTGGTGCTCCAATTATTAGGGGGACTAGTCAGTTTCCGAATCCTCCGATCATAATTGGCATAACTATGAAGAAGATTATCACGAAAGCGTGAGCTGTAACTACTACGTTGTAAACTTGGTCATCTCCTAGGAGAGCCCCTGGTTGTCCAAGTTCTGCTCGGATAAGTAGGCTTAGAGCGGTACCTACTATCCCGGCTCATGCGCCGAAGATTAGGTACAGGGTGCCGATATCTTTGTGGTTGGTTGAGAATAGTCATCGGTTGATGAATGTCACAGGTAAGATGGCTGAGTGTATAAGCGTTAGGCTGTAGTCCTTTTTACAGAGGTTCAATTCCTCTTCTTATCGACTTTGTAGTGAAATTCATGGTGAGTTGCAAGCTCATCGATGTGTGCCAACTGCACGCCGAAGTCTTAGGTAGAGGCCTGTTGGTTAGGGCATATAGCTGTTAACTATAGAGTCGTGGGATCGAAGCCCATCTGCCTAGTTGATTAGTCAAGGTCCTAGCTTAATTAAAGTACCTGGGTTGCATTCAGGGGATGCAGGGTAGTGTCCTGCGGACTTTAGCAGAAACTAAGAGGGTTTAACTCTTGTTTAAGGCTTTGAAGGCCTTCGGTTTAGGTAATCCTAAGTTTCTTAGATGACAGTGAGGATCATAGGGGAGATCGGGAGCAGGATGATGGATATAGTGGTTAGGATAGCAATCAGGATGCTAGTTGGTTTGTTGGTGTACCATAGTTTTATGTGGTTGGTGGTGTGTGGGGGTAGTGTGATTGTCGTGCAGTATGCTAGGCGCAGGTAGAAGAATAAGCCTAGCAGGGAGAGGAGGGAGATGATCGTGGCTGCTGGGGCCATGTCTTGTTTGGTTAGCTCCTGGATGATGAGTCATTTTGGCAGGAACCCTGTCAGTGGCGGTAGTCCTGCTAGTGAGAGCAGGGTTAGTAGTAGTATAGCGCTTAGTGCTGGTATTTTGGTCCATGCGGTTATTAGGGTAGATAGTTTTAAGGCCTTGATTGAGTTTAGGGTGAGGAAGACTGTTGAGGTCATTAGTGCGTACAGGTAGAAGTTGAGTAGTGTAAGTTTTGGGTTGTAGATAACTACGATCGCTATTCAACCAAGGTGGGAGATGGAGGAGAATGCTAGGATTTTTCGAGTTTGTGTTTGGTTGAGGCCCATTCATCCCCCTAGGGCTGTCGATAGGATGGCTATGGTGGTTAGGAGTGTGGGGTTTAGTGATGGCGAGGTTATGAAGAGTAGCGCTATTGGTGGGAGTTTTATGATAGTGGAGAGTAGAAGGCCGGTGGTTAAGGGGGAGCCTTGTAGTACTTCTGGGAATCAGAAGTGGAATGGCACTAGTCCTAGTTTTATTGCAATTGCTGAGGTTAGAATCAAGCATGATACTGGGTGAGAGAGCTGGGTGATGTCCCATTGCCCGGTGTGTCATGCGTTGGTTATACTGGAGAATAAGACTAGGGCAGAGGCAGCTGCTTGTACTAGGAAGTATTTGGTAGCAGCTTCAATAGCTCGGGGGTGGTGAGATTTCGAGATTAGTGGCAGGATGGCGAGTGTGTTGATTTCGAGGCCGGTTCAGGCCATAACTCAGTGGTTGCTCGAGATAGTGATGGTTGTTCCTAGGAGTAAGCTGATGGTGAATACTAGTTTTGCTTGGGGGTTCATTAGCAGGGGAAGGGGTTGAACCATCATTTTCGGGGTATGGGCCCGATAGCTTGTTTAGCTGACCCTACTAGAAAGTAATATAAGGGAAGTATGGAGGGTTTTGATTCCTCTAGTGTAGGTTCGATTCCTGCTTTTCTAAGGCCTGGGAGGTAGGAAATGAGAGGGTTAGTATACCTCCATGTTCACTTTATCATAGTGACCCTTAGTCTTCAGGCACATTTCCGGGGCGAATCTTAGGTAGGGTGGTAGGCCTGCGTAGCAGATTGGTATGCTGATGTGTCACAGACATAGGGCTAGTGTGAGGGGCAGGAAGTTCTTTCATAGTAAATGCATTAGTTGGTCGTATCGGAATCGAGGGTAGGAAGCACGGATTCATAAGAACCCTGCTGATAGAAGTAGGGCCTCTGTGGCCAGCACTACGGGGAATAGCTCTTGAGGGGGATTTAAGAAGCTTGGGTTGAAGAATAGGATGGCAGTTAGTGTGTTTATTAACATAATGTTTGCGTATTCTGCTAGGAAGAAGAGGGCGAATGGTCCTGCTGAGTATTCTACGTTGAACCCGGAGACTAGTTCTGACTCCCCCTCTGTCAGGTCGAAGGGGGCGCGGTTAGTCTCGGCGAGCGTGGACACATATCATATTATAGCGAGCGGTCAGCAGGAGAAAATGAGGCAAAGGGGTTCTTGGGTGACTGCCAGGGTGCCCAGAGTATAGTTCCCGCTTAGGAGAATGACAGATAGCAGGATGATTGCTAGGGTGACTTCATAGGAGATTGTCTGAGCCACCGCCCGCAGCGCTCCAATTAGAGCATATTTTGAGTTGGAGGCTCACCCTGATCATAGAATGGAGTAGACCGCTAGGCTCGATATGGCTAGGAGAAATAATAGGCCCAGGTTTAGGTCCGCTAGGGAGAATGGCAGGGGGAGTGGGATCCAGATGGAGATTGCCAGGAGTAGGGCTAGTATGGGGGTTGTCAGGAACATGATTGGGGAGGATGTTGATGGCCGGATAGGCTCTTTGATGAATAGTTTCACTCCGTCGGCCAGGGGCTGTAGAAGTCCAAATGGGCCTACCACGTTTGGGCCTTTTCGCCCCTGCATGTAACTTAGGATTTTGCGTTCTACGAGTGTGAGGAAGGCTACTGCGATTAGGATCGGAAGGATGTAGGAGAGGGCTATGATTAAATTGATTAATAGGGGGTAGTTGGTCATGTCGGTGGTTTCAGGTTAAAGCTAGGGAGAGGATTTGAACCTCTGAGTTAAAGGACTTAAGCCTTTTGCATTTTCCGAGCTCTGCCACGCTAGCTAATCCTTTTCTTGGATGTGATGTGGTGTGATAGCCTTTTGTAATTTAGTTGGTTTCATTACTTAAGGCGAAGGCTTGCTTGTGGTATTGGCCTCACTTTTCCTCTCCTTTCGTACTGGGAAGAGTTCATCATAGATAGAAACCGACCTGGATTACTCCGGTCTGAACTCAGATCACGTAGGACTGTTAATCGTTGAACAAACGAACCCTTAGTAGCGGCTGCACCACTAGGATGTCCTGATCCAACATCGAGGTCGTAAACCTCCTCGTCGATACGGACTCTCGGAGGAGATTGCGCTGTTATCCCTGGGGTAGCTTGGTCCATCGATCAATTATATTGGGTCTGGGTACTATTAGCACGTTGAGGGGTTGCTCTCAGTCTAGAGGTGTGGTCTAATTTTTGGAGGCTTTGTTTTACTCCAAGGTCGCCCCAACCGAAAAACGCAGACCAGTGGCTTATTTAGCAGTGGGCCCAGTGGGGGTGTGTGTGTTTTAAGGTGGTTGCTGGTTTTAAAGTTCCACAGGGTCTTCTCGTCTTATGGGTTTATCCCTGCTTTTGTACAGGGAGATCAATTTCACCGATTGCCTGTAAGAGACAGTTAAGACCTCGTTTAGCCATTCATACTAGTCTCGATTTATGGGACAATTGATTGCGCTACCTTTGCACGGTTAGGATACCGCGGCCGTTAAACACGAGTCACCGGGCAGGCATCACCTTCAATACTTGTTTTGGGTTTGCTGAAGGCTATGTTTTTGGTAAACAGTCGGGCCTTGACGGGCTTGCCTAGTTCCTTTTACAGGTTTTAATCTTTCTTAATGGACGCTCCTCTGTTGGGTTAACAAAGTGTTTAATACTCTGCTTGTTTGATTTGTCGTATATGGGTGGTTTGTTAATAATGTATTGATGTAAGCTTGCGTCGTAGAGGGAGGACCCTGGTTACTCATTCTAGCATTAATTCTCCTATTTGGGTATAGGTTGGCCTGTTAGTGGGGAGGGAGTCGCAAGGTTCTTATATTTTTGGGGTACGGAGCTTTAACGCACTCTTTGTTGGTGGCTGCTTGAAGGCCCACAGTAGGATTTTGGCTAAATTACTTATCCGCTCGTAGAGATTGTATTCTTTTTTAAAGGAGCTGTCCCTCCTTTAAATTGCCCTTAATTCGCTTCATTGGGGTTTGTTGGTTTTCCTTGGAGAAGAATTAAGAGTGAACTTAGATTCGTTTCACAGGCAACCAGCTATCACCCAGCTCGGTTGGCTTTTCACCACTACTAACAAGTCGTCCCACTCTTTTGCCACAGAGACGGGTTCGCTCAACAATAGCTGCTCGTAAGTAGCTCGCTTGGGTTTCGGGGTGGCAAACTTAAATTCATTTTGCTTGGTTTTTCTTGCTAGACCATGATGCAAAAGGTACAAGGGTTGATCTTTGCTGTTTATAGCTTGGCTTTTTTCACTACTATTTCATCTTTCCCTTACGGTACGTGGTCTCTATCGCTCCAATGGTGTCTTTTCTATCGCCTATACTAGGACTAGAGAATGCTTTAGTTGGGTTTATGGAGTAGCTTTGTTATTCCAGGTCATGTAGATTGGGCTAGAGTCTGGCATCAAGACGACCTGAGGTTAGTAGGTATCTTTCAGGTGTAAGCTGAATGCTTTTATTTAAGCTACGTCTTGGTGTTCTAAGTGCACCTTCCGGTACACTTACCTTGTTACGACTTACCTCATCTTCGGCTGGATAGCTTATTAATTTATGGGGGGGGGGGGGGGCGCCTGCGAGGAGGGTGACGGGCGGTATGTACGTGTCCCAGGGCCGGCTTAAAGAGGGCTCGATTGTCCCGCTTTACTGCTAAATCCGCCTTCCAGAGACAGTTTCATGTCTCTTTGCCGTTGATGTTCTATGCTAGAAAATGTAGCCCATTGCTTCCATTCCATAGGCTATACCTTGACCTGTCTTATTAGCGTGGTTGGGCTATTGCGCCCACTGTTGGTCTTTCAGTGTAGGTGGGCTGGCGACGGCGGTATGTAGGCTGTGTTTGGCAAGGAATGGTCAGGTATATCGTGGATCATCGATTACAGAACAGGCTCCTCTAGGTGGGTTTGGGGCACCGCCAAGTCCTTAGAGTTTTAAGCGTTAGTGCTCGTAGTTCTCGGGCGGATGCTTTAGTAGGTTTAAGCATCAAGATTTAGGGCCAGGCATAGTGGGGTATCTAATCCCAGTTTGGGCCCTGGCTTTCGTGGGCTTCAATTAATCGTTGTCCTAAGATCTTCTTTAATAAGGGGGCCTTATTGGCATCTTGGGCTTATGACAGCTCAGTTGCTTTTTAATCTTAGTTACTTGGATAACATGTAACCACGCTTTACGCCGTTATAAAGTTAATTTGGGTCTCCTGTATGACCGCGGTGGCTGGCACAGGATTTACCAACCCTAGATTTGCTATGGCTAAGTCAAGTTTACACTCATTGCTTAATATTAACTACTGCTGAATACCCGTGGGGGTGTGGCAATTGCGAGGCGTTTTGGGCTACGGTGGTGGTGAGCCTGATGCCTGCTCCTATCTACCTGAGTTAAGGTGTCCAGGGCGTCTACACTGGAGCGCGGATACTTGCATGTATATACCTAGCAAAAACTAACAGTAAGGTTAGGACTAAGTCTTTTGTCCTTGGGTGTGTGTGGCAGCCATCTTGACATCTTCAGTGTCATGCTTTTTATAAGCTACAAGGAC